GATATGGTGTTTTCCCGTTGCGTGGCAAAATGCTGAACGTGCGTGAAGGAAGTCATAAACAGGTATCTTAGCGAAATTTATCACTAGCTTAAACCGGCCACATTTGTTTTTTTTGGTATTTGAAAATTTTGTGAAATTGTGTTGCAGATAATGGAAAATGCAGAAATCAATGCTCTGATCAAAATTATCGGATTGCAGTATCGTTTGAAATATGACAAAGATGAGGATCTGAAAAGTCTCAGATATGGCAAAATCATGGTTATGGCTGATCAGGCAGGCCTTAATCCTCTTATTTTACTTCGTTTTTCTTGGTCTGTGCTATAATTAGTGGATTTTCATTTTCACGTGTTACAGGATCAGGATGGCTCACACATCAAGGGGCTCGTGATCAACTTCATTCACTATAATTGGCCAGTATTAATTCGCCGAAACTTCGTGGAAGAATTTATCACTCCCATTGTTAAGGTTTCTGTTCTGTTAATATCGTCCAAAAAGGCAGCGTTCATCTTTTACAGACATAGTATCACCACCAAAGTTCTTTAATTTTACAGCTTTTTATATTCATATATCTATATATGTATGGGAAAAAATGTGTACGTTAATTCATATTTCTCAATAAGAGGATTAGAGAAGATTACAGCCAAGTGAAGTTTACAGAGACCTACGAAAACTGCCATACGTCATATCTATCGCGACCCTAACTGTTTGCTTATTAGACTAGTGTGTGCCCCGGTTGTAGGAGTGTGTATGTGTACGACGTTGCGTCCTATGTACATCATTATTAATACATAATAAGTTAAAGAGATAATGCATACAAAGGTGGTGAGGCTCTGGGGAGCCGAAGCTCCCCAGAATAGGAGTATTAGTTAAATAGAAGTAGGTCGCAGTGGTGGATAGGTAGTGGCGATCCCGGCGATGGGGAGAAGTACTTTTATACTCCAGGGGACAAAGGTCGAAAGTTCAGTGAGGGTTGGGTGGTCAAAGTTTGAACCAGGGAGAGGGGTATTGCGTCGTAGTAACGCAATTATTCTTTAACCTACTTTTAACAAAAAACCATTAATCATTATTTGATCTATTGCACGACATATCTTTGGGAGCAAATTTAGTTAAATTCACCTTGACAATAAATGTAACGGCGATTATGTGAGCATGGGGGAGGGGGAAGGGGGAGGGAAGGTGAAGAAAGTGGAGGAAAAAGGTTGAGTGAACTGATAAATATAAAAAATTCTCACAGTTGCTGTCCTACAAGAAAACTAATTTAGGTTTTTTTATGGGACTTTTTTTTTCATTTTTTGCATTTTTTCAGTTTTCTCACCATTTTTCTATGTATTTTACAAAACGATGTGTCATTATAGGCCAGCAAAGGTAAAGAATCAATTTCATTCTTTTCGTTGCCGGAATATGCTGAATGGCGGAATAATACGGAGAACTGGAAATCTTATCGCATAAAGTACTACAAAGGTATACGTTTACGACTTTGTGCATACGTTAGGAACATCTTTGTACACTTTATTTAACCTTTAATCGTTTTTTGATACTTCTGCTACAACCGTCACACTGACGAGGTCCAGTTGCAACACTGAATGGGAATGTATGCGACTTAACGGACCGAAACATACCAATTCAGTTCTTATTTTTACTTTTATTACTTTTTAGTTACAGCCACTTTTATAACCAAAAAAAAAAAATTGATATTTAATCTACCTTTTTAATACTTAATTTTACTTATTTTTTTAGGTTTGGGCACTTCGACATCGAAAGAAGCCAAAGAGTATTTCACCGATATGGCGCGTCATCGAATTCGTTTTCGTTATTCGGGTGAGGAGGACGATAATTCGTTGGATATGGCATTTAGTAAGAAAAAGATCGAAGATCGCAAAGTGTGGCTTACAAACTGGATGGCTGTAAGTGTTTCTTCTGATCCATAAAGCACGGCTGATGAAATGCAGATCAAGCTTTCTGCGACCAACGCATCTTTCCTTTCAGGAGAAAAAACTGAGACGTGAGCAAGGTCTCACCGAAGAGTACCTCTATGACAAGGATACACGTGCTGTTTCGTTCAAAGATTTCGTCAACAAAGAATTAGTACTGTTTTCGAATACGGACAACGAGCGATCCATCCCAAGTTTAGTCGATGGACTGAAACCCGGCCAGCGTAAGGTTCGTTAAGGCGCAGCAGCGTTCTTTTTTTTTTTTTTCCCTTTTTTTCTAAATTTTCAGTGGACTGAAATGATCATAGGCATATAGGTTGCAGCTGCCAGGTCAATCCTGGAAGGGCAGAAGATGGGGCGCACAAGCAAGAAAGGGTAGTAAAGTTTGAGGTTAAGAGTGAGCCAAGACGTTTCGGTCCACTGAGTCATATACGCCTTAACTCCACGCTGCGATCGGACCTTGTCAGTATGACGATCGCAGCGCGTGAGGAAGATTAAAGAAGAAATGGAAGATAGGAAGAGAGTAAGGAAAGACGTTTAAGCAGAAAGAAGGGACAGAACGGGGGGGAGGGGGAAATTGAGAAAGACAGGAAGGAGGAGGGGAGAGGTGGGAGGGGTGCTAAAGACAAGAGTAAAAAAAAATTTTTTAAAGGCTTTAAAGATTTAAAAATTAAAAATTTATTTGCGAAATTTCTGCTTTTGAAATTTCCTTTCTAATACAAAAATAAAATCTTTTTTCGCTAATACATTTGTTTGCAGGTTTTATTCACATGTTTCAAACGAGCCGATAAAAAAGAAGTGAAAGTTGCGCAGCTTGCGGGCGCCGTTGGTGAAATGTCCGCTTATCATCACGGCGAGGTATGCTACGGTTTTCGTTTTTGCCTGACTTTGTGCAGGAGGTTTTTTTATCTTCCTAGCTATTGTATTGTGAAATTTAGGCTTCACTGATGTCAACAATAGTAAATCTGGCGCAAGATTACGTTGGCTCAAATAACATAAATTTGCTGCTTCCAATTGGTCAATTCGGAACACGGTTGCAAGGCGGCAAGGATAGCGCCAGTCCGCGTTATATTTTCACTCAACTAAAGTAAGTTCGGCGATTTTGCCTGCGTATACTCCCAGTTTTTATGCAGAAATCCGACCCAGTCATATGATTAGTTACGGTTTTGGTGGTTTTGGAAAACTGAGGTTTTATCATTTT